AAAAATATATTTATGGAATACAATTATAACAAAAATTAGATCTAATAATGAAATAATTCTAGCTATCGCATCTTCAGGAATAGCATCACTATTATTGCCCAAAGGAAGAACTGCACATTCTAGATTTCGAATACCACTATCAATAGATAAATTTTCAACATGTCATATAAAATAAGGAACTCAATTAGCGCATTTAATTGAAAAAACATCATTAATTTTATGGGATGAATCACCCATGACTAATAAATATTGTTTTAAAGCATTAGATAAAACACTCCAGGATTTACGAAACAATTTTTACCAACCATTTAGTGGAATGACAGTTATTCTAGGAGGTGATTTTCGACAAATCCTACTTGTTTTACCTACAGGGACAAAAGAACACATAATAGATGCATGCATAAATAATTCTTATTTATGGCCACACTTTCAGGTTTTAACATTAACAGAAAATATGCGATTAAAACATTTTAATACAACATTAGAAGAAAAAAAGGAGATTGAAAAATTTTCAAAATGGACATTGGACATTAGAAATGGTACTGCTGAAGGAATAAAAGATTTAGAAAATGAAGATATTACATAGATAAAAATACCAAAAAAAATACTTTGTTGATTTTGACCTATATCCAATTGACAAAATGACAACATTAATATACGATAATTTCAACAATAATTTTAATAACATTGAGTACCTAAAACAGCGCGCAATTGTAACACCGAAAAATAAAACTGCTGACAATATAAATAATTATATATTATCCTTAGTGCCTAATGAGGTAAAAACTTATTATAGTTATGATACAATACTGCCTTCATCAGAAAACATAGAAGAACTAAATCTCTTATATCCTCAAGAATTTTTACACAATTTAAATTTCAACGGTTTACCACCACATGAATTAAATCTTAAACTCGGAACTCTAATAATGCTTCTAAGAAACCTAAATCAATCTGCTGGACTATGCAATGGAACAAGACTTATCATAACACAATTAACAAATAAAATAATAGAAGGACATATCATTACTTCAAATAATATTTTTAAAAAAGTTTATATTTCAAGAATAGAAATGACTGTACATGAATCTAAATGGCCATTTACTTTAAAAAGACGACAATTCCCTATAAAAATATGTTACGTAATGACAATAAATAAAAGTTAGGGACAATCTTTGAATAAAGTTGGACTATTTTTAGAAAATTAAATATTTAGCCATGGTCAATTATATGTTGCTTTATCCAGAGTAACTACTCCAAAAGGATTATATATATTACTTAATGATTCAAACAACAATTATCCTAATCATGTAAAAAATATTGTCTACAAAGAAATGCTACATAACATCATATAAATAAATACATAAAAAATATATACTATCTTATATTCTTCATAACATTAAAATTTTTTTAGTACAACATTTTTAACAATAAACTCAATAAAAATATTTATCATTATAACAACATCTTATTTACTTTTTTTAGGATTAACAGAAAATGACAACACCTATTCGTGCACTAAAACTAAATGAAGTGTATGAAACAATACAAGCATGAGAATGCAGAATATGGACAAACAACGATTTTGTCACAGGCCGCCTGATAAGCCTTGACTGTATTCTGGTTGATGAAGAGGTGCTAAAATTTTAAAATATTATATTACATATTATTTTATATAACATTTGTTAATATTGAATAAATTTCTATTCTTATTATTTATTTACAACATGAAGCAATACAGGGAACAATTCGAGCACGTGATTCGGACTATATTTCCTAAAAAATTGAACAAGGCAATATATACAATATTAGTAACTTCTATGTTACTGAAAATAAACCAACATACAAAGTCGTTCCACACAGTGCTATGATCCAATTTGCATGAGCAACATCCTTTACTCCAATTATGGAAGACGCACCACACATCCCATTTCACAAATTCTACTTCATAGAATTCGACCAGCTATATCAAATAATAAATAATACTGAGATATTAACAGGTAATATATCTTACTTAACTTATTTTATTATTATTATAAATATTTCTTGAATATTTATTTACAAAATTTCCCTGTTTATATATAATATTAGATGTTATTGGAGTATTAACAAGTGTCCAAGCACTCGAACATACACATGTCAGCACCAGACCAACAACACGGCGATCCATAACGATACAAAACATCAGGTACAATAATTTTATGCTTTTTTCCCTCACATTTACTATTCATTACAACCATTTAAAGTGAATACAATATTTTTCCACTTTTATGATTCAATTTTATTATTCATTTTTATGAAACATTTTTTCTACAAAAATGAACAACTATAAGTAAGTCTATGGGGACATAAAGCCGGTCAATTTGATGAGAATGTACTTAAAACACTAAAGGCACCAGTTGTGGCAGTTTTCTCAGCAATGTTGACGAAGCAGTATCTAGGTATTTTTAACATTACTTTGTTATAACATTTATATATATATATATAGCATACATTTATTATTTACTCTATTATATTTCAAGGTAACTCATATGTTTCGAGTACATCAGTAACAATCTTCTATATTGACCCAGACATCCCAGAAACAACAACGTTAAAGACAAGGTAAACACACATATATATAAAATATATTCTAATAAATTTATCATATTAGATAATCATACATTTTATTTATATTTTTCTTAACTTATTCGTATTTTTATACATACAGATTTTCCCATCAAAATCAACAAATTGAATTCCTACCACCGCCAAAAACACCTATCCAAACAATTGAAGAACAAATATCAGCAAACATAAGAACAATAAACGAACTCAAAACATTGGATACACAAAATAATCTGGTTAGAACTATTAACTTTCTTATTATTTTTTTACTACACTTAGTAAACAATTTAAAACCACAATATTCTATCTTTTATGCATGGTGAAAAATTCACTGTAAGAGCGACCATAGTAAACTTTTCAACATCTCAAGGATGGTTCTACAATTCTTGCCCCAGATGTTATCGGCAACTAAAACAGGCAAGAATAGGTTGGTGGTGTGATAGTCATGGCCACATAAAGTCAACGCCATCTCCATGGTAATTAAATTTATTACCATACCATTTTTATTTATTATATATCTTTATTTACTTTAACAAGAAATTAATAAAATTAAAATATATATATGTTACAGGTACAGATTAACAATCCAAATTGAAGATCATAATGGAGACATGAAAGTTATTACTTTTGGCAGAATTGCTCAGGCATAATAAAAAACCATGTTCTGCACTAACAATTGACGAAGGCTTTACCGATCCATTTATAATACCACCAGCTATCGATTAGATCCGAGGACAATCAAAAATCTTCCAAGTCTTCTTTCAACAACGAGGCACCCAAATGAGCACATTAATTTCCAAAATATTTGAAGACATCCATGTTCCATCATCACCACCAATATAGTTAACTACAGGAACAAAAGATTCAGAAAGGTAAATAATGTTTTTAAAATTTTTTATCAACTATACATAAATAACATTTATATTATATTAATCACAATTTTAAAAATCTTCTTATCTTTCAGTCCACAAGCAATACCATCATCACAGCTATCAACACCGACCACATTTGATCCACACACTCCAACACCAAAAAAACCTGGCACAAGGTAAACCACATTCAACACAACAAATATTATCAATTTATTTAAAAACATATCTACAAATTATTCCATTTTCTAGCCCTAAATCAAGAACAACAAGACAATCTGCAAAACGCCCAAAAATAAGGTAATATAAATATTTTTATAATATTTATTTCATACTATATAATTTAACCATCTTTATTTCTCTTAACACTTATATTTGCAACCATTTTTCTCATTTTTATACTTACAGCTGAAAGAAATGAAATGCTCAGAAACCACAACAGCGTTGTTTTTTATTCTGTACATTCTGTATATATATAAATATTATAAATAATAATACTATATATGTCTGTATAAATATGTTTGTACAAATTTTATATCTATCATATAATATAATATTGTATAATACATGTATATATATAAATATATTTTAAATACAACTATCATATAATATAATACTATATTCCGCAGCAACGTGCGGATTTCAGGCTCGTTAACCTCTATTTTCAGTGCAGAGCAAGTTATAAGAAAAACAAAACATGTCGTATTTTCAAATTTGTTTGCATGTTTTGAAAACGACATGTCCTTTATCTTCATTAATCTTGGTTTTTAAACTAAGAGAAAAATTTTTCACCTTCAATATGGTCTATACCAAAAAGTACAGTGTGAATAGGAGGAAAACATGTCAATAAAGGCTGTTTCATCTTTCCCTCTTTATTGTCGATAAAGATTAATGAAAATGCGTACAAAATTGGGAAGGCACAATTGTTCCATTTATTTCCTCTAAACGCATAGACAATTGTTCACACATTATTGAACTTCAAATTAGTCAATCCTCAATAACTACATCTAGTTATTTTCTCCTTGGAAAGCCACAATTATCGTCTCTATTTTTGATCATTTTGCAAAATAGCCAACTATATATACACTATTAAATATTTATAATAAAAAAACAACCCAAGGTTTTTTTGTGTGGATAATATAACCCACGGTATTAGTATTGCTAATAAAATCCAAATGTTATTACAAATTGATTACAAGCGGAAATCCATCCACTTTAATGGACCTCCACCTAAACAAACGACACTAATCTCGACAAAAGAATCCAACCAATTTGGAAACACGAAACAAAGCACTACATTATACAATAAACAGAACAGAAGATCGTTGTTTTTTCACCAATCACTTTGAAGCAGTCCTCCTCCGAAGATCGGCGTTGAAATTAGGGTAAGAAGAAGAGTCCCTCCGATTCTCAGACGGCGACGGAAAGCCTCTGTTGACGCTCCGCGATCGCTGCTCGGCGAAGTCCAGCGGCGGCGGCGGCTGGAACTCCGATCGCGTTCGCCGGTGGGACGATCCTTCGGAAAATTTATGGCTGGATCCGCTCAGAAGGCGATGGTAGCTCCTCTGGCTGGTGGAGTTCTCGGAGAAGCTTCTGTAGCTGTTCCTCGGCTTCTCGTTCCTCAGCGCGTGGATAAGGTACGGAATCAAACCTTCCATGGGAACTGAAATTCCTTTCTTTCTTCTTCTTCTTTGCCTGATTCTGATGAATGTGAAATTTTATTGAGCTTTATGTGTTTGTGAAAATGCACGAGAGAAACGTCGCGGAGAAGGTTCGGTATTTATAGCACTTAGGAGTGGTGGGATTTGGTATTGGTTAATGACGATTATGTCCTTTTAGTGGAAAGGGGAATAAGGGAGCAGTGGAGTTTGGTGAGAGGGGTATAAGGGTAATTTTCTTTTTGAGAGTAGGAAAAAAACGAAGTCAAGTTTGACTTTGTAAATGGGTTCCATCTGGGCACATTGTTTTCGGTGTTGACCGTTCTTATTTTAAATGTCTATCCAAAACAGTGGAGGCGGCTTAACGCGTATTAACTCATAACAAAACAAGAACAGGTAAATGCCACTAGCAGAACTGGATTCGAAATCCATTGGCTCAAGGATTCAGTGGGGTTGACTTTTCTTGGGTTAGAAATTATATGAGGATATGTAGAATGATGGTTTACTCTTAAGTTAAGACAAATATCACTTTAACCTCTAACTTTTAAAACTTTTCATAATTGCTCGTGTTCTACTATTGTGCAGCAATAAATCATTTTTTTCCGCTACTTATCCCGTCTGGGGAATTATGTAGCCCACACATATTAGCGGCTTTTGTTTTTTCCGGTTTCTCTGATGTGGTTTGGTTTGATTCTAGCATTAGATTTATTTGCTGTTTTTACAAGTCAGATTTAGCTTCTATTGAATAAAGGAACTTATCAGCTCAAAAAAAAAAAAAGATGGAAAATAATAAGGTTGTTGGATTATTAAGTGGACAAGAAATGCCATTCGACAAAGATTGGAGGGAGAATATCGTATTCTCTGTTCCCTTTTGTTTACTGCACAGCCAAAAGAAACACCATTTCTCACTAATTCCTGATTCCTCTCCCAAATATGAGGAAAAAGTCCATTCTATACTCTCTCAGACGCACATGAATCATGCATGGCACATGAGGAATTCCATCCTAGTTTTAGCGTTCATATATCGGAAGACTAATTTTACGGCACAATCATAGATCAGTCTCGGTTTTGAAACATTTAAAATGTGGGGATCGTTTTTAAGATTACGATTTATGCAGAGGGAAAATTCAGAGCTTAACTTTTTCTTTCTTTCCTTTCACTGAAAAAAAAAAAAAACCTTTGCTGTCTTTTTGTTATTATTTTTATAATTTAGCGTTTTTTTATTGGAAAACGATTCATATTTTTAATTTAACGTTGTGTCATGCAAGGAAAGCATGCTAAACACCACACAGGAAAACGTGTGTTTTTTATGCTATGTGGGGGAGAGGGGGAAAGTGTTTGCCTGTGAAAGCTCAGTAATTCGTTCCTTGCAAAGAAACAACGTAAGAAGACGTCATTCATTATCTAAGCAAAAAGAAAAACGACCTAATGCTTCCTAAACCAAAAAAATGAACAGGAGAATACAGTAAATAGTTGATTTATAAAACTTAATAAATAAATAGTAGATTTTAAAATTATTTAAAGTGAATAATGCTTTACAACGTAAAAAAATCATTTACAACTAGGAAGAATATCTTTTCGTGTAATTTTTTTTTATGACTATTAAAAAGATTTTTTTCACATAAATAATGATTTTTACAATGTAAATTATTTTTTCTAGTCGTACATTTACGCTGTAAATTATTTACTTCAAATAATTTTAAATTATGTTATTTACTTAATTTAGTTTTAAAAATCTGCTATTTACTATAAATTTCTCACGTATGGTTTTCAAACAGTATAATGGGCTTATATTCGATGTCGTTTCTGTTTATACAAGAATATATCATGTCTTTATCTGAAACTACATGCTGTTTATATTCAATGTTATTCTACGCTAGAAAACTATGTGTCGTTTTGGTTGTATTCTGGTTGTCAAGATATGGCCTTCGATAAAAATGTAGAAAAAATTAGAGGAAGTATTTGTATATAATTAATCATTAAAGGTCAAATATACAAATACTAGCTCTATTTATATGCATAAATCCAGCTGGTAATAATCAAACTGAATAAATCATAAATAATCTTAACAGATAATCACAAATTCAAATCACTAAAGTAAATTATAAATTATCCTAAAAGATAAAAATATATTTTAAATTTCTAACTATTCCTATTTTCATATTTTGTTCCTTATTATTGCCCTTCCAAGTGGACCAAAACACCTTGTCTAGGGTATTAAAGTAAATGCAACTGTTACTTGTTAACTTTCATAAAACTCCAATTAAAAAAAAAAAGGAAAGCTATGACTCATTTATGTGTATTTGTTTACGAACGGGAAACTTCTGACATAATTTGTTTCTTGAAAGGAAAGCTAGAGAAGATCATAGATTCCCAATGGTTTTATCTCGTATAATTTTATTATTTATTCTAATTACGGTTATCATCACCTTTTACATAGGTTTATTCAGATAAACTTACATGTTTCATAGGCGGTGTTAAGTTTTTCATATTTATACTCTCTTAATTCCTCCTCTTTTCGCTCTTGGACCTATGTATATGAACTTCAGTAGCATACGCATATAATTAATGCACAATATTGAGGAACTTACACAACTGAGAACAAGCAAAAAAGCGAAGAACAGTTGATCAAGAAACCAGAAACATATTGCAACAGCAACATGAAGAATTGTAAGCACTAATCTACATATTCTTCTGGGATTAGGGTTTTTTCTTTTTCTTTTTCTTTTTCTTTTTCAAAACATGAAATTCGAGTAAAACAATGTACATGTATAATAATGTATATGTCTCTGATAAACACATTTTTTTTCCCCCTGAGAATTATAGTATACACAAGTTTGATAAATTTATTGTATGTATGCATATATTACCAAAGCTCGATCATTGGGACCAAAGAACGAGTTGTTCGCTAATTAAGTTCACTGTATATAGTTAGAGATATGCAAAACATCCTTCAATTGTCTTTTAAGATAATCAAGAATAGGCTTGAATCATTATACATAAATATGCGCGTGTGTGTGTTAAATGACAATACAATGACGTTTGTTTATTTCCATGTTACTCTAATTACTAACAGCAAGCAATAGAAGAAGAGCGGAACTTGATGCAGAAGATGTTGGCTCCAAGCCTTCCCACACGAGAGTGGAATATTATTTAGAGGAATTACTCCAGAAAAAGTATATAATTTTGTCTTCCATTCATGTTTATTTCAATCATTTTTTTAATTTTTTTATATATATATCTCTCAACATTAGCATCTTGATATTGGCATAATCTTTCTAATTTTTGGTGTTTATTTCTTGTTTTATTGAAGGGGCCTCAAGAGGGAGAAAGCACTAGCCTTAATCGTTGACTGCTTAACGTCCAATTTTATGTTGGAACGTGAATTCTTGAAAACGAAGTAAAGGCTTTTCTTTTCTTTGTCCCAACTGCTTGATAATATAATTACAATCTCTTTTTTATTTTAATTTTTCTCTGACACACACACACGCACAAACACATATTTTGCAGTTTTGCTACCTTCCTTTATCGGTGCTTAAATTTATTGAAGAGGGGTTCTGCCAAAGAATTGCATTCAGCATCTCAAGCCATTGGTATGTCAAAACTCTACCTTTTTCTAACCAACCCTATTAGTGCTTTGTCTTTTTTAATAAGTACTTGTAGTAACTCATATGGTTTCTTCATATTTAAAATTTCCAGGCTTATTGGCTATGATAGTTGCTGACGAGGACAATGAACAAGAGATATACATTGAGTTACTTCCCGTACTTTCTGAAGCTCTCAAAACTGGACCTAAGACCTTGAAAGTAATTATAAATTTTCACAGTAGCTAGTGCAAAGATAAAAACTTAATTTAATCTGTAGAAATATATAAATCTTCAGAGTTATTTATTTATTTTCGTGCAGGTGTTGGAGTGCTTGGCTATAGTAACCTTCTTTTGTGCATCTAATTCAGCTGAAACTGAAAGGGCAATGGGAATAATATGGGAGTTTATTCATTCTGACTCTAACGTACGCATATTCCTTTTAATATTACTTCTTTAGCTTCTGTAAATTTGCACAATGTTAAAGGTCGCTAGTTGTTTTTAATCTTCAGGCGAATGCAAGAAAGCGTTCACCAGATGTACTGGTAGCTGCAATATCCGCTTGGTCGTTTCTTGTTTCAAGTTTGGATGGATGGAGATTCAATGCAAAATGTTGGCAAGGGTAAAGTGCAGATGAAATTTCATCACATTATTTCCATAACCCCAAGTTTTGCTTGTTACATAATATAGTATGCTTTAGAACTCTGTAGAAATATATTTGTTTTTTGGTTTGAAAATTAATAACATGTTGGTATTGGAACTGATCGTGCAGGGCGGTTTCTTACCTCTTGCGTCTCTTAGAGGATGACGATCCATCAGTTTATATTGCAGCCGGTCATGGCTTAGCGTTAATATTTGAATCAAGAAACCTTGATAAGTTTTGTTCAAGAGAAAAGAGTTATGGAGAAAGTTCAACGCTTAAGATGTACTCATGCGTAGAAGAGTCAATAAAAGGTGTTGTTTTAGAGAAACTAGAACATCTTGGTCGAAAACAAATAAGTGAGACTGTTGTCGACAAAGTAAAGAAACAATATTTGCATATTTTGGAATACTTTCAGGTACTTTTTGCATTTTTATTTTATTTTTTTTTACATGACTTTGATGTATTCTATGGTTGATTATTTTCATTTGTTAATAGGGTGGTTGTTGCTCAAAAATTGCTGAACC